ATGATGTGAATCAGCTTTTGTTTATCCCTAAATAAATCTTCAATTTTAATATATATATGACGCGCAGTGTCCGAGTAGGATACTGATGCACAAACTTTTGATATACAAGCGCCAAACCGGCTACTGAATGAGAAGACTAAGTGAAGGAAGCACTCATTTATACAAATATGCGCGTCTGCATAGAAAATGAAACCATTTCACGGCCAATAACATGAATCTGTCGATTACACTTTCGATTAACGCAACGCAGTCTTTCTACTTGGCGACTTTGGTTGGTCCACCATATTCACTATCCTACCTTGTATCTTGCTTATTTCTTCTCAGTGCACTGATGCAAAACGTGTCGACTTGGTGCGTACTTTGTGTGATGCATTGTGCAGAATATCGGTAGGGTGTACGGCTGTATAAAACTGCGCATTAACATCTGCCTTTGTCTAACTATCTCACGAACAGACAGAGGTAATTTAATTTGGACTATGAATGTGTTTACATGAAACAATATATATTTGTGACAGTCAGTCAGTCAGTCAGTAACAACGTAGAACTTCGTACGTACGTACATCAGTTCGAGTTGCCACACCACATTAGCACAGAGATGCAGTTGTCGATTCAAATCCCATAGTGGTAGAGGTAGCAAGAGTATAAGCAGTAATCGGGAAGATTAGGGTTTGGAGATGTTATTTATAGAGTATAATCCAGTGAAATAAATTTGGAAAGAGGAAAAAAGGGACATGAAGAATTCAGAAGATTAGAATTTGAGAGAACACAGAGAGTGGATGCACCTGCGCCATTGCAAACGATTTTGAGCCATGTCATTCAGGGTCTCTAACCATCGGTTGCTATCATCTCGCGGTCCCCAACCAGGTAGTCTACACCTACCAACATGACTCAGTTCACTTGTCAGTGACTTCATGGACTTGTGCCATGTTTTGGTTTGGCCGCCCCTAGCTTTCTTCCAACCTACTCCTATACCACTGAACATAGCACGTCGAGGCAGTCGGTCGTTGGGCATACGTAACACGTGTCCCAGCCATCTCAACTGATGAAGTTTCACTACGTCATCAATTGATTTGCCATCCTTACCTAGTACCCGTTTTCTAACAACTGTGTTACTTAATCGATGGTCCCATGATATACGAGCAATGTTTCGAAGACACCTATGATCAAATACTAGTAGCCTACGGATATCCTCTACTCTTACCGGCCATGTTTCACTGCCATAAAGTAGGACGGAACGAACTGCTGCACAGTAAACACGTCCTTTGGTTGATAGACGGATATCTCGCCTACGCCATAAATGACGCAAGTTGGCAAAAGCTAGTCGAGCCTTCTGTATCCGTGCTGAGATTTCGTCACACACCAGACCACAAGGGCTGATCAGACTTCCAAGATAAGTGAAGCGGTCGACACACTCAACTACTTCACTCCCTATCACTAGTTCGGGTGTCGATGTAACCCAATCCTGAAGCAACATTTTGCATTTCGAGGGAGAGAATCTCATCCCGAACATGCTTGCATTGTTGCTTAGAGTGGTCAGAAGACTCTGCATTTTGTCAGCGTCTTCACCAAATAAAACTATGTCATCAGCATATTCTAAGTCAACAAGTGAACCTCCCGGTAGAAGTTCAACCCCTGGAAATCTAGATGAGGAAAGTGTTATCTCTAGAAGTACGTCCACGACAAAGTTGAACAAGAATGGGGAGAGTGGACAGCCCTGACGAACACCACTTGAGGTAATCAATTCTGATGACAGTTCGCCATAAGCTCTCACTCTACCAGTTGTGTTCGAGTAGAGAGCCTTTATAAGGTTAATGTACTTCTTTGGTACTCCTTTCAGTGACAAACACTGCCATAGAACCTCACGATCAACAGAGTCAAATGCCGCCTTAAGGTCGAGAAATACTACCATTGTGGGGCGTCTGAATGTGTGTCTGTGTTCTAGAACCTGACGTAGTGTGAATATCTGATCTATACAACCACGTCCAGGTCGAAAACCAGCCTGATTTTCTCTAGTCTGCTCTTCACGAGCTTTGATTAGGCGTCGAAGTATTATTGAAGCTAATATTTTAGACACTATATTAGTCAAACTGATTCCTCTGTGATTGTCACAAGAGGACTTTTGTCCTTTCTTATAGACTGGCACAATCAGTGATTGAGACCAGTCAGATGGGATTACGTCCAGTTCCCAAATTCTACTTAAGACCTCGGTTAATCTCATTGCTAATACTGGACCACCATCCTTAAAAATCTCAGGAGTAAACCTGTCAGGGCCTGCTGCTCTCCCTCGTTTCAGATTTCCTATGGCTTTTTCAACTTCGTAAAAAGTCGGAGGACCTACATTAACTTGCCATTCAGGTTGACTAGAGATCGTGGGAAACCGAAGTGTGGCTGAAGGCCAGTTGAACTGATCCCTAAAGTGTTCTGCCTATCGATCCAATCTCCTGGATTGAGAATGAATAATATGTCCATCTTTCTCTGAGATTGTTTCGCTAACGGTCGGGTTCCTAATTCCGGTTTCCTTAACGAGTCTGAACAATTGTCTGCTATTACCTATTGCCGCTGCCTTTTCCATCTGTCTTGCTTTCGCTACCCACCACTGTTCGCGATCGTTGCGTAGGCTTCTGGTCAGCTTGCGCTTAAGCTGACTCCGCTCTTCATTATGTTCAGAGCCAGGTGGAATGAGTTTCCGAGCATCTATCAGTGAGATAGATGCTGCTGAGATCCAGTGTTGCTCCCTAACCTTCTGGTTTACCTTACTAGCAGATATCACTGCTGTTTCCACAGCTTTTCGGATATCATTCCATGCTGCATCGGGGTGGGCATCACATACATGGCTGCCTAACTGTTTTCCTAGTTGTTCCTGAAATATACTCTTAGCTTGACTATCATTAAGTAGGGCCCTAAGAGGTTTTCTTGCAGTGTCTTTCCTACGTCCAGTTAGACGCAAGCAAATACGCGCTCGCACTAGAGCATGATCTGAATCTAGGCATGTGCTCCAGAATGAGCGACAGTCTTCTATCGAGCCCCTCCATCGGTGGCTGATAGCGATGTGATCTATTTGGGTCCAACGTTGGGACGAATTAGGGGGTCTCCATGTTAAAAGATGTTTTTCCTTATGTTTAAAGTTAGTATTTGCAAGGAACAGGCGGTTATCTGAGCATAGCTGCAACAGACGGTCGCCATTATCTGTTCTTTGAGCCACGACACCGTAAGATCCACCTAGGTGTCTTTCCCTATCGCTTAGTTTACCTACTTGAGCATTAAAGTCACCGGCCACAATTACTACATCCGAGCGCTTAGCTTTTCGGAGAAGGTCCGAAAGCTTTCTGTAAAACTCATCTTTTACATCATCTGAGCTGCAGTCAGTGGGAGAATAGGCAGAGACGACGAAGAGGCAACGACGAGTGTCCCTATCTTTCCGGATTCTTACTGTTCCGTTCAGTCGGACAGCGCACAAACGACTGTCTACTGGGATCCACTCTAAGAGAGCTAGTTCTGCCCTAGGACTCAATGCTATACCTACGCCGGCAAGGCCGCGGGAAGCAGAATCAGGGCTCCCAGATACACGAAGCGTAAATCGAGTCGGTTCTTTATTTTGGCATGGTGAGGTCAAATGAATGACGCTACTTGGATCCTGTATGCGCGTTTCGGAGACGCAGCACACATCGATGGCGCGAGATTCTAAAGTCCTAGCTAAGGAAGCCTGCTGTCCTATTTGGCAAAGTGTTCGTACGTTAAAAGCTCCTACGTGTAGTTTAGAGCGTGGTTTCAGGAGACCAGGAATGGCGTTCCACGTACTCGAATCGTTTGCCCTAGCGGTGCGAGGTGATAAAGAGACGTGGGGAGGGTTAGTCGGGGAGATAAGAGAGGTATTAGAAGGTGTAGGAAAGATTTGAATGTGACCACCTTGGTCTCTTGTGCTGTTACGGGTATGAGGGCTGATATCACTTCCCGGCTGCCCACACCGTGGAAGGGTATTTCTTGAGGAACCTGAAAAGGAAATTGGATTAGTGTTGGTCTTGACGACCTGGGAGCGTGACCGCAGAGCCCAAGGGACAACTGCTTGAGGCCGGTCGCGCACGGCCTTTTTGTGGAAGATTTTTGACGTGTTAGCTCCGTTCTTCAAAGGGCCTTACCGCCGGAGACGGAAATCCGTGAGGTAAGGTGAGGTGTGACATTTTTAGGGTCGACCTTTTCTAACCCCACCCCTCCTTGTGGGAAGGCAGCATCGCTGTCATGCTGGATGTCCGAGGGAAACACCTTACTGCTGTCACACCCCTCTACAGTCAGCAGTACGACTTCGCCCTCAGACCTTGAGTTGCTGCTTTTAGTCTTACCGTTCACCAATCGACCTGCCTGGCATGGTAGAACCTGCAGGAACATATGTTCCAGCCAATATAGCTCGGTTGGGTCATCACGATAGGCAAGCCCGACCACCGCGTCAAGGTAGCAGCTTCGATAATGATATATATACAAAGCGAAATTTACACATGCGAAAGTTTGATTGATTCTTAATAAGCAATAGCTAATTCATTATCAATAGCTCATACCACCATAAATATAGTAAACATATTTCATTCTAATTAGGACTTCGCATCTAGATCCAAATGGATCCCAGTACTGGCATTCACGGAAGAAACCAAATCCAGTGCTTATCAGCATGCACAAAAAGTTGTTACTTAAGTAAGCTTTAAGCCAATAGTGGGTAGTCAGTTTAGTTCAGTAAGTAAGCAATAGAGGATGAAATACTTCGAAAACACGTCATTATCTCAGTCATATATTTACAATGTAGAAGACAATTAATAAATAGTATTTGTATCATTTTTACCAACTGACGTAACTTGGTAACCCTATGTGCTGAAATTGAAGTTATTGTATAGTGAGCATAAGAAATTCTGTTGACAGATGATCAAACTACTGAGTAGTAATTCTTACAAAGTAAGTAACTGAGCGATATAACAATAAAGTAAAGAAAAAACTATTCACGAGTACAAACTTACGATAATCCCTGCTGACTGCGAACAGGTGATGCACGTCCACTGGATAATACACTAACTTCATCATCATTAATGTCAGTAATTTGATCGGAATCTCTTAAGAATATACGTAGTAAATTATCTTTCACAGAGAGATTATGGTTTAGCTGACTAATCTGAAAAAATATACAAGAAATAAAGTTAATCAAAATCGATAAGCCGTATACACATAGCACAGTTTATACACTTTACATTGTTAGTATGCTAATAATAGAAGGGAATGGAAATTTACTGAATTACCGACTTGGTGCTCACTTACAATGAACTATGAAAAACTGAACTTGTGCAGTTAGATCGTTCGAAATTAAGTCATAGTAACGTTCTCCTTAAAAGCTCAGTCACATTTTAACTGTATGACACTGAAGTCTTATAACCAAGACTGGTGAATTTCAGACTGCAAAACTTTTACTTATATATCAAAAGATTTGCTATCTTGTAACTTAAATCAGTATAGAAAAAAATATAACCAGAACATCTTTAATTACAAAAGTTTATATATATATATATATATATAGGTTTGTGAAGCACCAAATATCAAAAGGGGTTTTGTGGAGATTTTAATAATTTTAATAAATGAAATCATGAGTCAATTGAAGCTAGACCACCATGGAAAATCTGGAAGCACTGGACGGCCGTTTCGTCCTAGTATGGGACTTCTCGGGTTTACCATGATGGTCTAGTTTCAACCGACTCATGATTTCAACTGTTGAAATTGCTAAGATCTCCACAAAACCCCTTCTGATAATAATCATCTGCTCACTAGTGACTGACTTCAAGAGGCATTTCCTGGAGTTCCAGCAAGAAGCCGTGATCAGTGGAGTTCAACCAAGTCTGTTGTGAGATATCAGCTCACTGAAGACAATGGTGTACGGTGGCGCGATCTCGTGGATTGGTTGAAGTTAGACATTGACATCGTTAGATGCTGTCTCAGTGATCTAGAGGTTAAGCGCTCGTGCGCGAGACTGATAGGTCCTGGGGTTCGAATCTCACGAGGGACAGTATCGTGGATGAACACTGCTGAGGAGTACCATACTAGGACGAAACGGCCGTTTAGTGCTTCCAGGTTTTCCATGGTGGTCTAGCTTCAATTGACTCATGATTTCAACTATTGAAAGCACCAAATAACTCATTTTTGACTTAATTCATTTTCGATAATGTAATAAGAAGACGAAGATTATCAGAACTATGTGATATATTAGCGCAATACATTTCGAACAATCTGATCCTCTTACCCCATTTCCAATCTAGTTGACCTTTTATTTTTATATCTAAATGTTCTTAACAAGTATATGTGTGATCAGATTGTTCGAAATGTATTGCGCGAATATATCACGTAGTTCTGATAATCTTCGTCTTCTTATTACATTTTCGAAATTTATCAAAGGGATTAATTCATTTTACTAGTTCTAGTTGACATGAGAAGAAAAATTGCATACGCTAATATTACTGTTCTGATGTGATCCCATCACTTTTGTTTCCACTTTAGGTTACTTAATGTAGCAGAAAAAAAACCCAGAGATCGTGACAATAATTTATTATTTTATTCTACTTACAACAACAAAAGAACTTGGTCTAGATTAAAGACAATCATCACCATACAAAGTACATTATTAATTCAAGCAAACAAATAGGCATGTATCTATGATACATTGTTTTGATATCACTTAAATTTAATTATTACACTATAAATAAATTATTAACTTTACTATACTTGGAAATTGTTCACCGGACGGTAACACAACAAAAAAAGCTAATGATTAAGCAACAATGAATAAGAATCTATGAATAATAAATTAAGAAATACACAAAGAATCAAGATCAGATTAAAATCCAGCAGTAGTACTGGTAACTGATTCTAGACGATACTAGATCTATGATAAAATATTCTGGTAAGAGGGTAAACGGTATAAATGAAGAAAAGCAACATCAATATAGAAAAAGCTATGACCGTGAAAAACAATGAAATCACTTTTTAAATCACTGAAAATGGTTTGAAGAAAGCTAAAAAATATAGCTCATTGAAAACAAAAGGTATGAGTTGTTTTTTCCTTACTTGTCCTGATTACATAATACGTAAAATAAAATTCCCCAAATAAAACAAATAAATACGACTTACAACTTCATCACGTGCATTAAGATTCTTTTCAGTCTCTAATAGTCTCGACTGAAGGTCATGATTTTTCGCCAACAGATTTTTACCGATTTTCGCTGCCAATTCAAGATCTGTTTGTTTCTAGATTACAGTGCAGAATAACAAATATTTTGAAACTGTGATAGGAGAATAAACGATTCTAAAAAACAAGAATCATTGATTGACACTAGGTTTGTTGAAATTATCAGAATAATGACGAATGTCAGAACTCATTTTCCATCAATATTTGAAGATGTTCATTAAAATTCCATTATTAGCATTATATATATATATATACATTGATAGGAATTTTTGTATACTATCAAAGTAATTTTGTTATACTAAATACATGTACAGAGTAAGAAATAAATTAAGAAAGATTCCATTGATAATTAGTGAAGCTTCCCAATTAACCATCAGTCAGTCAGCTACAACGTAGGACCAGGCACATATGTGCATCAGTCCAGGTTGCCATACCGCATCAGCACAGCAAGATGAACACCGGATTCATAGCAGTGGTTATGTCAAAGGTGGTAATATATAAGAGAAAGATTGCATATAGAGGTATAGTACAAGAAGAAAAAATTGGTTCGTAGAAAGAAAGTTATGAAGCGATTTTAATCTCTTAGTTTAAGGGAAGATAGTGTATACACCGACGCCATTGTGATCGATTCTGAGCCATGTCACCAAGAGTCTCCAACCATTGGTTACGATAGTCACGCGGACCCCAACCAAGTAGTCTGCATCTATCAACATGGCTCAGACTAGAAGTTAGTGACTTCAAGCACTGATGCCACGTTTTGGTTTGGCCGCCCCTAACTTTCTTCCAACCATCTCCAATACCAGATAGCATTGCACGTCGTGGTAATCGGTATTCAGGCATACGTAACATGTGGCCCAACCATCTCAGTCGATGAAGATTCATAACTATGAAACAGTTTAGCCACACACCTATAGGAAATAAACTGGGAGTTATTAAAAAGTCTGAATATTCGCATCGTGTCTAAATCCTGATTGATTTTTGCACTTATTTGTAATGTAATAAATGAAAAAAAACCTACTGAGAATTCACATCTTCAGTTTTAAAAGATATGCACATATTAAAACTTTTTAAACTGTTTATAACCGGAATGGAAGTTTAACGTGAAAACAAACCATATAAATTATTCGATATTATAAATCTTTACTTCAAGTTTGGTTTCCCATGACTGCTAATAAAAAGAAATACTTACTTCTTCTAAAAGTTGGGTAATAGCATCCAAATCTTCATAAGTTTGAGCCATCTGACTAACTCTTAGACCACAAAGAACTGAAAGAAAAATGCAGAGGTTGACGTTTTATACAGAAACATTTACGCGGAAACCTAAACGGTTAGATATAGAGCAGTAAAACGAAAGTAAAGAATCATCTGAATAGGTGCACGATTTGCAATTGCACTATTCTTTCTCTCACCCTGCTAGCTGACTCAAGTTGACATTACATATGAGTTGTCTCAACATGAACAAATTTATTTTGTTCAACAATCCTAAATTCAAATACCTCAATTAAACAATACACTGTGCCCTAAACCTGGCCACTTTTCGGATTATTAATTTGGATATATGATTGTAGAACCTGAAGAGAATTTATTAAAAAGAATATTCTTCGTTTATATATTAGTCTTTGACACATAAATATATGTAATAGTAATAAATGTATAGTTAAAAAGACGATAGTATATCATAGTGATTAGGACGAATACTATGGCAAATAGATTGGTTACTCTCCAAACAAAACATTTATGGATAGAAATCAACAGTTTAGTAAGTAGACCATCCGTATTAAATGATTAGACGTTATAAAACACCAGTGAAATCATGAGTGAGTAGTAGTAGCGTAATCACGTTTGAGTTTTAGCTTATCCGATTCAATTCAGTGAACTCTTGTTAGTACAATGAATCTGGCATAAAAGTTTCTTTTAAATATAACCAAATAGAGAAAATAACGTTAGAAAATTTCTTATCTTAGTATTAGATACACTCTTAGCTACATTTGATACACAAACAAAAGTGTACGCTATGAAAAAGTTGCGATAGACACCATTTACTATTGAACAATCGAATTAATTTAGGATTTATTAAAGGTAGTATACTTATTACCGAACAAGTTAAATTGATGCAATAAATCTATCTTACTACTCTACAGGGTACCCTTTCCAAGATAAAATTAAGTATAATAAAAAAAATTATATTAGATGACAAATCATTACTACATAATTATTGAAACTCAGAATAACTAAGGTCATATATACATTTACATTCCAAAATGTATTAAACATTGCCAAACCACACAAAAAAACATTCTAATTATTGGAATTGAAGTCGATCAATCAATTCACAAAATAATCTATATTATCATCTTATTTTTTGATGAAAAAATGTAACTTTACTATCCCGAGCAAGCAGGATAGAAAATCATGTGAAGATAATTTATCAACGCCTCTTATAGATGGATTAATGTGTTTAAACGATTTAAAACTCTATATTTAGAAATGATCCTAATTCTATCGGCATATGAGTTTTCTTTCTCAAAAAATCACGTTTTAATTAAGGCCAGTCACAATTCATCCTTACAATGCCCCATTCACTAATGAACCAATGTAGAGTTTTAAGGAAAGACAAGATGAGCAAGAATTGGTTTGTAATCATGATTTACTTGAGGAAAAGACGATAGCGAGAACGCTTGCATATATTATTACGGTTGGCAATCCTCTGCCATTGTTTGAATTAAAATTCTGAAGTTCCTGTGTTGAAAAGAAACTAGATAGGCACGAACTGACTGTTTAGCTTAGAAAGGTACATAAACGTGATAAGTGCAAAAAACAATGTCCAAAACAGGATTAAGGACTTTCTGAACTAAACCTAAAAGATAGATCAAAACAGCTCAACAAAAATTGACATAGTAATACGTGATGTGGTGGCATATACCTTTGATCGTATAACATGTTGACAGTAAACTAAGAGCGCAATCACCGTATTTGGTTGATTGAAGTAACTGATGGATTGGTTCACACTTTTACACATAAAAGACATTACCAGTGTACACTGAGGAGGTGGGATATTTCATACATTTAAAAAATTTTTCCCGTTTTAAAAACATGTTACTCGTACACGTCAATGCAAAATGAGAACCGTGACAAAAGATTGAAGGAAATGGAGAGCAAGTGATGATAAGTCGTTGAAGCCCAAGTAAGAATACATCACTGTTTGTATCAAATGTAGAGACTTCAGATATTTACATTAATAAGACAATAAACAGGCAACCCTACCAACTAATTCACCATCAAATGACGATTAGTTTCCACCCCAATCTATCTCAATTCAACGTCTTAGAACAGAAGCTGATAAATAACCATTCTTGTAGTGGAAACATGTTGGTAATTCTATAAAAAAAATCCATTTTCTTTAATTGAAAAAGCCTTCATTCCTGCAATAAGCAATCAATATTTATTAAGTCAATTACAAATAATACCAGAGAAAAACTCCAGATGGAAAGAGTAAACAATTGTAGTGTTATGCATGTTTAGCAATCGATAATTCTATCAAATAACCGAAGTAGTTGGATTATGGTATAAACACTAAAAGGTATGATGCTGTCTTTAGGTGATAATGATCAGTTAATTAACTCACAATCAGAAATACTGAAGACAAAATCGTCTCCAAATTATTTCAAAATAAATTGAAAAATACATTATATAATACATTAGGGGTATTATCTAATGTAATCACTTACAATTGATGGAGAAATCTATGTTTTTGGTGCCATAAGAGACAAGTGCCAATCGAGACTTACAATAATAACAACAACAATATGTAAAGCATTAAAACAAACCAACGCCTAATTAATAGACATTTTTTACAATAAGAATCGATGCTTATAACAACATTTGTTATCAGTGACAAGTCATCTACAAGTATGCATACATGGATAATGAAAAGCTGTAATATTACTTAAATAACAATAATGACATTTTATGTTATTATCTAAGATGAAAAGAAGAAAAACAACAATATGTCTTATTAAAAGAAACTAATACGATAATAAGTGCATAATTATGAAATTTCTCAACCAAGAGGTACAATCAGAAAATAAATCTCTGTAGAACAAAAAAGAAGTATCAGTAATCATACATTGTTAATTAGATACACAAGCAGACAATACACATGGCTATACACACGCCTATAAATAATATATTTCAGTTAGAATAATCGATTCACTCTCTACTTAGATGCAAAAAATAACAGATTCATACTCTTTATAAGTTGTACAATGCATATTACCACTACTACCAATAGGTGAATAAAAGAAATGTTTGAAAAAATTCAACTGTGATTCGGTTGTAGTTTTTTTTCCTACATTCCTAGCTGTCTTATTGGACAATGCAATCGATTTATAGGATATGTAGAAACAAAAAACTCTTAACTTAGAATGGGCCGCTTTCAATAATTGATTATTAAAATGTCATTTATTGTGAAACCTATTTAAATACAGAAGCTTTGACTTATTCTGCAACACTTCCGTTTTGATGTCACTAACATATAGTAGAACACTTGTTTCCAAAAAGCCTAATGACATCCGATTTTTACACGCTATTACGACACTAGTTCAATAATACTTTGGAATGATTGATTTAGCTTTCATACTTATATGATTATAGGTAAGAACTCATATTAGTATTGTGAAAAACTAACATAAGACAAAATTTTAATAGTAACTTTAAAATAACCTATAACTTAGTTGGGTCAATCATAACGTCAATAACTGCTTCTGACTAAGCATTATAACAACCATGAAAAATAAGCTTACATTATTAATTTTCAGCTCCCTACATTTGTCCTATAACTTAAAATTGGTTGGATTTATAAACCTGTAACTCAGTGGGTCCTGTTAATTTGAGTACAACATAAACTGGGAAAACTGGAGTAAATAAAAAGTAGGATGCATTTACTAGGCGTTTTGTCTTAGTTTCAGGCTTCTTACGAGTTCGAGAGATTTAACCTCTACAGCAAAAAGCCTGAGGTGTTTTGAGTATCGCTGTTAAGAAACCGTTTCCCAATTAATAGACTGAAATTCAATAGTTCATATTTTCTACTACACTAAGCTGAGAAAAATAGTGTAATTGGGTTCATCACATACTTCACATAGCTCAATAAATTTATGGGTTATTAATAGTTCTGGAAGATAAATATCTCAGTATAAACAAATAATGAACATTTATTATTTATGGTGACAATTCAGAGATACACAAATATATCCTGGTAATATTCCAACTTATGAACTCTATACTTACGCAGTTAGTCAATCTACGCACTACAAAACACTATCTAATTATTTTCCTTATCAACAGTTAACAATCTGAGTTTATTTCTAAAAAAAATACTCATTATTAGACAAAGAAAAGTTAGTAGATAAACAAAGTTGGTAAACAAATGAAAACTAATTCTTAAATTAACTCACATCAGACAAAGATTAACAATAATGATGAGTGTATAAGGGTGTGACCAGCTTATGATAAAATTAGCATAAAATGGACGAACCTATTGTGAAAGGTGATCAAAATACAGATGGCAAATGGTGTCCTGAAATAATAATAATAATAATAATAATAATAATAATAATAATAATAATAATAATAATAATAATAATAAACCAATTATTCAGGAAAAATAAATATGAAATTGAATGGAACAGGAAAAAAGACCACGTTTAAATACAAATTGACACTGAAACAATTCATAACATTTAAAAATGGTTCTACACTAAATGATGTTTTAAAAAATGGGATGGATGAATTTTGCCAAGATTTACTGAATGTTATCAAAGAATGAACAACTTTTGTATCTTATAAGAAAAATAACAAACTTTTGGTAATTCATGTTAATACGCCAAAGTTTCTAGAAAAATTTTATTTAACTAAAATTATACCAGGACAAGAATGTTCTAAAGTTTAAATGTACTTATAAGAAACACTTTCATACTGAATTCTAAGTAATTTACGTATGAGTTACCTTCGATTTACTAATTACTTTCCCATGATACTTTATAGGTAACCGATACAGATGGTCCATATCAGCGGAAAATTAACAAGTATTTTGTTATTTCAGCAAACATTTCCCAAGTCATCAATCCTTGAGAGCGGAAAAACCTTTAAGTTAATAAAATGGTCAATGTAACTCAACAATTCTTCCTCTGTTGTTAAACTATGTGCTTCCACTTGCACCAGTTTTGAATTTACATTTTACATTTGGAGAGAAACACTGAATATCGGAAATCTTAATAGAATTAGTTTTTACTATCCCAAACTTTTGAACGCGCTACCGATTACTATACTTCAAGAAATCAGCATTAACCCAGTCAGATCCCAAGGAGTAGTCAGTCCGGTATAGAAAATAGAGAGAAGACTAACTTACTTACCAGGTAAATGGGTATAAGTCACGCAAAAAATATGAAGACTAATGATACCACCCAGTTCCCCGAACATAAGTGTGGCACAGTTCAAACCAAGGAATAAGTGGCTGACAGCCGACCGCACCAACTAGTAAGCTATAGCTCCATTTAAATAAACATTAACTAGTTGAGTGCATTATTTAATATTCTCAAATGAACAACTAAACAAAGGGATTTTGATTAAGTGAAAACTTTATATTGCAAAATAAGTTAAAACAAGTTATAACCAGATAAATAGCGAAAAAAAATTGCTGATAAATAACGCACTATTAGACTTATGTTTAACGGGAACTATTTAGAAGTAAACACAGACTCATGAGGTAAGACCATCATCTATGGACGACCTTAGAGTGATACTAGAATGACCTTGAGGAAATTAAACCTCTAGCTAGGGTCAAGAGAAGGTTATGAATTAGTGTGAAGAATTAGTATAACGACTTAGAGTTTTCATCACGCACTGACATCAGCTACTAAGACAAAATGCTATTTGATTGGATGAATCAATGGATTTCGCGCTAAAATCCAAAGGCATTCACCTTAAATCCTATTGGTTCGTCCATAAGTTTTTTTAACTCAAGAAACCTGGCTTTACAAATTTATTAGGTCCACACATCTACGCGATGATCTATTGATAAAAAACTTGCAATTCCAGTAAGGTGTGGGAAATTAAAATCGACAACTGCATTGCTTTAAAAATCGTTGCCTAAAAGTAAACTTTGTCGTAATTTATCTGGTTTAGTATCTATGTAGTGAATATTCAAAAAGAGAAAAAACGGACAAAGACAATGATGATGTAGAACGTGCTTAATTACTTAAGAAAAGACGTGTGACCGAAAACATAGATAATTCATAGGCAAAATATGATGTATGCTCAAAAAACTGGGTTAGCCGTTAAACAGACTCATTAATCATAAAGCTGATGAAATGATAATGAGTACTACATTATACATATTCAACATCCATGCTGAATTATTAGAGAGAAACTTTCTACTGATACTATTGACACTTAAGAGTCGATTTGGACTCATTAAAATTGGACTATATATATATATTAACAAAGTCACATCAAGACGAACAAAATGACATTAAGCTAATAAGAATACTTATAATAGTGACTAATTTACAATGAAAATATTTCTAAGACTAAACAAAGATACATAAACACAATGACATTACACTATGGCGACGACTATGTTAGGACAATAAGTCTATAAGAACTGACTTTTTTCTCATTTAAAAGTGATTCTGAAAAGTATAGATTTTTAGGGATGTGCTGGATCATCCAAGCACAAGTAACCAAAACAGACCCCTGATAATCCGGGTGAAGTTACATTTGTACAATGATTTCACTACTGTTAGGTCATGTTCTAGAAATTCGTGATGAGGACAACAATATCTGTTAGTGGTAAAGGTAGAATCGTGAAGATTGATAAAACAATCATGAGGAGAAAGTATAATAGAGGTAAAAATGGTAGGCGATATTTGTATCTTCGGATGTTAATTGTTTTTCTTTGAGTTAAAAGATAGCACATCCAGAAGTAGAAGTTTAAAAGGGGAAGGGGTAAGTGTTGATATTCTAATTACGAAATTTTCGGCATTTCGGACAACACCGGCGTGAAGAATGCTGGAAGAGTACCAGATTGAATGACTTCTATGTTGATTTATATTTGATAAACAGTTGAGCCAGGGATAACAATTTACAAAAACAACTAGAAGGTATATAAGTGCCTCAGGATATTTGAATAAGTGATTGTTCACAAGTGGCATTTGTAAACCCTCTCAAAAGCGAGTACGCAAACGTCGAGACAATGTGGGTGTAGGGAGCAATTTCCTACAGGTTTAATTCTGAGCTATTCTCTACACCGTCCAATACAGAGTCTTGGTTTGGCCAGTCAGAACAAGCAAGCTATTTGGCTAGATAAACTTTATGTTTCTAAAACATAAATTAACATCGTTAGTGTACAAACAAACTGTACGGTCTATTAATACAGGTGAAAAACAGACAAATAACATACCGAACAGTAGCCAGAGAATAAGAAAAATGAGTCAACACACAAATATTGTTTTACAATGAACATCAAACTGTGATTGGTTAATAAAGAGATATAGTAGTACAAGGTCAAAAGGAGTTAATGTGGTGGTGAGCGTTTCCCTTTATTATTTGTGAGTTCGTCTCTCGATGACATTTTACAGTGGGTGCACCTGAAAAACCATCTTACAGCGCATAAAGGTTTGAAATGAAAAATGTTTTTTCAGCCTTGTGGATGAATTAATATATCGCAACTCCTTTGATCTCAAATCTCAAGAAATTCTAAATAACATAGAGAAACTCATATCACATAAAAACATGGCATACAATTCAACTACTTGTTTTCTATAATTTGCTTGTCAGAAACTAGTCGTTTACATCGCTTACTTCTTGGTTAGATACAAACGGGAGAAAAAATCCTCAATATCATTTTCGTAGTCCCTTAAATTTGTCCCAATGATTTAGTTTTACTATTAAAACTATTATAAGACATTTTAAAACGGATGAAATGAGAATAGGATACTGAAAATCATACAACACAATAGAAATAAAAACTTCTGAGATCGCGAGTTTCTGACTTGCTTGGTAGGGATTCCTAGAAATAGAAATCTCCTACCACAACTTAATTATTAGATAACATCTTAGTTTTATAACCTTTGAATCGCCACTCACTTTATCATAGCATCACATAAACATGAAGAAAAATGAGACGAATAAATCAAACGACAGTACAACGGGACTAAAAATGAAACCAATTTACCAGCTTCTATTTCCAGCGGTGTTAAAAATTCAACAGGTGTTCCCATTTTTCAAACAGAAAGATGGAAGAAATATTCACAACGAATATTCTTGCATTACATGAGTGTTAATTTATCCAAATGATAATTTTAAGATTAGCAATGATTTAGGGAACACTCATCCCACCAAGACAATCGAGTAATCCACATCATGAAAATAATCGACAAGGCGATAAAGAAATGAACAATTTTTTTCAATTGTGGAAATATTTGTGATCGATTGTGTGGTGGTGATAGTGATACGGACAGGATGGACATGGTTACAGCAACCTTAATAGGTGAATTAACCAATCATATGATTCGATTATGAAATAGTTTGTATTTATGTCAGATGCTATACAAGACACGTGATTAGCTAGGGGCAGACATGAAGAACATAAGAAAGTGAAAAGTTAGATTAATTCGCCAATTGAGGATATATTGGAGGATTTACAAGAGTTTTATCTGGTTGCATAGATTGAATAACTTAATATACATGAAATCAAACCTGTACGAATATATCAATTATGATTGATGTTACCTAAACACATGGAAACATGATACTGCAAACCTAATGTGGTCAATCAGCAATGGACAAGCACAGGATTTAGCTACGGGTTTTTACAGATTTATTCTTTCCTAAATGCCATTTTAAGAGCAACCTGTCTAGACTAACAGTTTTCTGTAAAAGGGCTTTTGACCTCTATGCAAAATGCAACTTACCATGTTGAAATAGTAAATTCCAGAATCCAGAAAAAATCAGCCATATTAAGAACTTTATGGAAATAATATAGACCACCATCTTGGAAAATAACTTGTCATAATTAATAATTTATTTTGTACAAATTTACAATGAAGTGTGCTTATTCCTTTTAATTACCATGTTACTTCTGAGATTTAAAGAAGCAGATTATTATTGTAGATATTTTGAGTAGACAGATGTACTAGAAATAGGTCCGACAAAAATCATAGACTGTTGGATGACAGTCATAAGTAAACGCACTCGAATCTACGTCTCGTTAGTAGCTTGCTATGTCAAGCCAGAGCAAAATAAACACGACAAACTGTAGTTGAAACATAAGTGGACCTAGTGTCATCATTCCAAAACTTGAACGTGACTAAAGGATACTGGAGATTGAGGGACTAAAAGATCTAGGATCTAGTTTTATACCTTTACTATCCATATATCAGTTATTTACTAGCCGGATAGAATGCACAATAAACATTAGGGACAGTAAAGCCAAGTATAGATGTATAAAAAAATCACAGAATCAGATTTTTGGAAAGTGATGTTACAGCCAACTACTCCTTTTAGTTAACCCAAATCTGTATCAAGAAAAAAAGCATGTTTCATACACTACCTGCAGTCCTTTCGTCAGTGTATACAATCATTTTATTGTATAAATCAAGACTGTAAAAACACAGGCCCCCAAATGCCGTGGTACGGCCGAGAGTGGGGAGAGTTAGCTCTCCCTCTCGAAATGCTCTCACATGGCCACGTGCATACAACCACTGCCAGGGAAGTCCTACCCACTGCCTTCTTGCGGCGGGGTGTTGTTTACGAAATTGAAAGGACGAAAAGCGAATATCAGGAGCTTTAACCGGGTTGGCGGACATGGAGAGTCTACCTGGGGGAGTTGGAAAACCCTGATCCCAAACCAATGATTCACATAGGCTCCAAGATCCTGAGCGAACAAATGGCGTATGAACCAATTATTGGTCACCGGTTACCATAGGACTGCATTTCCTTACGTTGCTCCACTGCATTGTGGATCAGACTTTCAGGTCGAAGGCTCCGGGTGTGGCCCCCTAAGAAAACCACCTGCTTCGGTTTGGGCACCCGGACAGTATCACATTCCTTCACGCATATCAAATTAGATCTGTGTGGCGCATATGTATCTGGTGCCTCCTTGTACCAATATCTATGTGTTAAAATAAAATAAAATAAACAGGAATCCCATAAAAATTTAAATATTCAGTAGCCATAAACAGTAAGTATGAAATCCGGTATTCCATTTACCTTAGATGCCTTATTTAATTCAAGAAATAACTATCTCTTATTACGAAGCCATTCATCCCAATAATCAATGCTTTGATAGGCTGGATTTTAAACAAAACCATTTGTAACTACTTATATAGATGCAAAGTAGTACATTATCGTTGAATAAATTTCCTACTCTTCGATTAGTATTCAAAGTTCCAGATTAAAATGAAGCGAAATTTGTCAAGCACAGTCAAGAAGAGTTTTTCGTCGAAAAGGATGACACAGTGAATTAGTTTAAACAAACTCCTACTTTAATAATCCAGCGCACTAGCTTTATGTACACCTAATTTTTATTTCAGCAAAATGTAATCATATGAATGTTATTTCAAAATCCATTGTATCAAATAACAGTGAAAACAAAGAGAAATGGAGAGGGTGTTAATTTTGATCTTAATAGGAACAAAAATGAGCACGATATGGCTACTTCTAACAGACAACTTACAAACAAGAAAAATTTAACTTCTGTTCAACATCAAATGTAATAATAAGCAAAAACTACAAGAATAATGACAAAATCATTCAAATAATAAGCTTCCGATGAATACAGTGACAACGGCATTGATATTAATGTAATTAATCGTTGAATCAGAACTACAGTTGTGTGGTTAAGGTATGATTACTGTGAATGGATTGATAAAAAGTAACGAAATGAAGTTAATAACCCAAACCACAATTTCTCTATTATGTAGACATATGATTTTATGTTTAAACATTTAATTAACCTTAAAATTCAATTTTATTGGACGATAAAAAAAGTGAAGAAAAGCATATCACAGATTTTAATTAAAAGCAGAATTTTTATAAATAATGAAAAAGTAAGAATAAATAAGGCGATTTGTGTAGACGATATAAACAATCTACGATATAGGATAAGTATGTAGTTTGAATCAAAATAATAACAAAATAAAAACAAAGAAGTTGAACTAATGGTGCCAATAGCACTGGAAAACCAAACATGAGAGATATAGTTCAAAACGAATAAATGGCTGATGGGATGAACTGTTTGAAATAATATCATGGTAAAGATTTAGAGGTGGATGAGAAATGAATGTATGTGGCATCGTGACCAGTTAGTTATGGGTGAAAAACTTGTGACTAACTGGACCAACGAAGATGATAACACTAACACATACCGAAATAAGAGGTACTCTATGCAGCAAGTGTGTTAGGGTGGGAAAACGTTAAACAAGGATCCAACGAAGTGATTCAAATGTGACTAAGCTTATATTTGAGTTTAAAATTTCGGATTTCACTGCTTATTTACATTATCGACAATCAATAAAAGTTAATAAGATTACCTGATACCCGATGTCAGATTATAATTAAAAACCTTTAAAGAAATTATTCAGTCAAGACAAGAAATAACAAAACCACCAAGGGCTGAAATTAACTAGTATAAGTAATTGACTTTCAACAGATATATTAGGTTCGCACTCTACTCCACTTACATAACTTTATGAAACCAAGTAATGTCAAAATAATTCATTAACATGAAACCTTGTACGAAAGTATATAAATTCTGTGAAGCAGGAAATGAAACTCAGAAAAAAAGAATGTCGGTCGGGAAAGGAATATAACTGATAATAAAAAATTTTGATCGACTGTGAATCATTTCTTCCAGTAAATCAACCATGTAAAAGACCTCACCCATTAGGTATGTCCATCTGTGCTAAACTCAAGATGAGGGCCATTGATTGCATAGACTGGAGTTGCTTTCCTTCCATTGACTCAATCCTACTTCAGTTAGGATCATTTTACAGACGATTTATGTGGTATTCCTAATGAATTATATTTTTGATTATTAAGTCATTTAAATAAACTGATTACATTTCTACTAACTAGGCATAGATTTAAATTAAACAACTACATTAAAAAGTACACACCTCACGCCATACTTCCAGATGCTAAAAAGACAGGATTTTGTTTTAAACTATAGCTAAAGAATATTGTTTGCGTAATTTAAGCTGATCAGAGAGTATCCTGGAAAGTACGTTTCCGAAAAGTTAAATAATTGGATTTAATCGTTGATAACTTGGGCAAACAAACAAATCGAAAAAAATCTGCTTACTAAAATAATCAAGAGTATTTTCAATCTGTTCTGTTGTTAAACTGAGAGTGTCGTCGTTTTCGTCTTCTCCTTCAGAACGGTCCTCCTCTGAGTTCAATTCAGTTGTTCTATTGAGAGTATTGGTTGTATAAGAACTAATGTATCCTATTGTAGCTAATTCGGATGATTTGGGCAAGGGATATTTGCTAGAAAAGTCACGAGTAATTCGTCTGGCAGATCTAAAATCCTTGTTTCTATAACCTAAGAAGGCAGTGCATGGATCTACTCGAAGACGATAGCGTGGGATTGACTGTCGTTGACTGGTAAGACTAATTAGTTCAATATCTGCTACAAAATTGTCGTCTTGAACAACAGTACTATTAGATGTTTGGTCTTTTGAACCAATCACAGATATTTGGTTTGAAACAGTATGAGTTGGATGACTGACTGCGTTTAACTGAGAAGAATAATGGGAATGATTGGGACGTGTTTCTGAGTACGAATGTAGGGAGTTGAGCTCTTCTGTTAAACAAATTTGCAATTGATTATCAACATCTTGGCATAATTGAACGTCGGAGCAGTTTGTGTTATCTATAGAAATGCACTGGTCATTAAATATTGAAAATAGCATACTTTTGAAGATTAATTAATACTTGAAGTTAAGGAAAGGATTGAGACTAAACAACGATATTGAGCCGGATACAGCAGTGTAACAAGATATTTATCATAAAATGAGCCAATAAACACAGAATGGGAGAGGTAACACTTCACGTTTTAAGATAATTATGAACGTGATTGTACAATATCCAGAACACCACGCTAGTCCGTTTTTTCGAACAGTGGAACATGAAGTTCTCCAGAGGCCTTAGCAAGATTGGAAGTGGACACCAATTTTTCCTACTCGAAATGACTCCATACAGCTTTTTTCAGGGAAGTCATATTTATTTTATTCGCTTAATGCAAATGTAAATACCTGACGCTTCGGCTCGAACTAAAAAGGCGGATTAATCTTAAAGGTTTTAACCACCTAAGAGTAACACCATATAACCCACAGAGAAGTTTTCCGACAATGGATACACACCCATACCTTTTAAACAGTTTCCGTTGTGTCGACTCCATACCTGTT